TAGTGGTTCCATATAAGTTTTAGGATTGTTTTTTCTGCTTCTGTAAAAAATGCCACTGGAATCTTGACAGGGATTGCATTGAATCTATAGATGTCTTTGAGTAAGGTGGACATTTTAACAATATTAATTCTTCCAATCCATGAACATGAGAAACCTTTCCATTTATTTGTGTCTTCTCTGATTTCTTTCATCAGTGTCCTGTAGTTTTCTGTGTAGAGATATTTCACCTCCTTGGTTAAATTTATTCCTAAGTATTTTATTGTTTTTGATGCTGTTGTAAATGGGATCTAGCCTGATGTTGAATTTTTCAGTTCAGTTGTTTTATTCTTCAGCTCTATAATTTCTATGTGGTACTTTCTTATATTTTTTATCTCCCTTTTGAAATTCTCTCTTTTTTCATAGATTATTCTCCTGACCTCAGTGTGCATCATTATGACCATTATTTTGAACTCCTTATCAGGTAAATCACTCATCTCCATTTCATTAAGATCCATTTCTGGAGTTTTATCTTGTTCTTTTGTTTGGAACATATTACTCTCTGTCTTCATTTTTCTTTATTCCCTATGTGTTGGTTTCTGTGCATGGGATAAAACAGCCACCTCCCGTTCTTGACAGCATGGTCTCGTGTAGGTAATATACCTTTTGGTTCGGCCTGGCCCAAGTTCTTAGTTGTCTCTCAAACATCTGTGATTGTCTAAGCTGCCTTCTTTGTTCTTAATAGCTCCCAGTAGTTGAGGGTGTGCCAAGACCAGTTTTGAGGTGCGTATTTTCTTGTTCTCCCAATGTGTAGGAGTTGCTCAGCTAGTTTCTGGATTTCTTTCCGAGGGAATTGCTCCATACGTAGGTGTGTCCGTGAGAGGATGTGAGTTCAGGAGCCTTCCCTGTCACCTTCATCTTTATGTTTCAGATTGTCAGTCTGTCTTAGTCCATTCCCTCGCTCTGGGAGGAGGGAGCAGAGAGCTTTGGTCTTTGGAGGAGAAGGAGAGAGAAAATGGAAATTTATTCCATATTTCTATTTCATATTTTTTATGAGGAAGATTGGCCTTGAGCTAACATCTGTTGCCCATCTTCCTCTTTTTGCCTGAAGAAGATTGTCGCTCAGCTAACATCTGTGGCCATCTTCCTCTATTTTATGTGGGATGCCGCCTCAGCATGGCTTGAGGAGCAGTGCTAGGTCCACTCCTGGGATCTGAACCTGCGAATCCTGGGCTGCTGAAGAGGAGTGCGTGAACCTAACCACTACACACTAGGCCAGCCCCTCCATTTCGTATTTTTAAATCTCTGTTGTAAAACCTATTCCATATTTTTTCAAAATAGAACTTTTGGAAAGTTTCCTTGATTATTTATATAGGGATTATTTGTATTCTCTCTAGTAATCTACCACACAACAAACTGCATATAGACCTAGTGGTAATGATAAAACATATCACAGAAGTTCTGGACTTGGAGCTGCATGGAGTAATTTGATGAGACTGTCTCCACATATAGAGGACATGAGATTTTTTCCTTAATGTAGTTTTGACATTTTAAGGTGTATACATAGGAAAAAGTTTGTGCCTGATTGCTGGGAGTAGCGGCAGGCACTATTGATTGCCTTTTACACAATCCTTACTTCCTTGGTGTCAGTGCCCCTAATTGATTGTTCGTCCACTCATATATGGAGGCCAGGTGATAAATGGAACAATGGAACTTCAGTGAACTTAATGTGAAGCACAAGGGAATCTGAGCTGTACAAGGGTTGAACTGTACCATATGTCTCTCTGCGCTACCCACACATTCTCAAGTGTTCACTGTTCTAGTACATGCCAAGGGCATCTTACCACAAGCTCCTGTGACTCCCAACTTAGAGGTTTCTTTCAGCCTGTGAGTAAGGGAAGGCCAGAAATTTCAAAGAATTAATGTCTCCAGGAGTTGCCTTCAGCCTTCGAGTTGGAGAATAATCATGAAATATTCCTTGTGGGGCCAGCTCCATGGCCGAGTGGTTCAGTTGGTGCACTCTGCTTCAGCAGCCCAGGGTTTCACTGGTTAGGATCCTGGGTGTGGACATGGCACTGCTTATCAGGCCATACTGAGGTGGCGTCCCACATAGCACAACCAGAAGGACCTACAACTAGAATATACAACTATGTACTGGGGGGCTTTCCGGAGAAGAAGAAGAAGGAAAAAAAAAAGATTGGCAACATTTGTTAGCTCAGGTGCCAATCTTTTTAAAAAAGAGAAATATTCCTTGCGCCCAAGGTGAGACAATTCTGATGCACATTCCACGTGGTCTTCTAGAGGGCCCCGAAAGGATCAGGCCCCACATACCTTCAGTAATAATCTGTGCATTAGTGCACTATCTATTGGCTTCGTTGCATCGTCTATCTTACTTCCCATTCCTCCTCTGGTGCCCCTAGTGGTCACTTCCCAAATAAACCACTTGCCCTCAAATCTTTGTCCCAGGCTGGGCTTCTGGGGGAGTGCAGTCTCAGCGAAGTATGATAATGTCTTGTATTTTTAGTATTCGTCTCTTTCTTCTTCAATCTCCTGTAATTTATACTTTACAAAAGCAGTTACTATGTTTTTGGTTGTATAGTTAATAATTCTGTAGTCCTTCTTTTAATGCCTTTGTTCTGAATTTACCTTGTCAAATATTAAGATGGTAGCAACTTTCTTGTAGTTGTGTTTTCTTGTATATTTATGCCTACTCTTTTACTTTATTTTTGTTTCTGAATCTTTTTGATTGAAATATGTTTCTAAAATAAAGCATAGCATTGGATTGTGCTTTGTTCATCAATCTGTCTGCAGAGAGTTATGTTAGAAAAACCCTATGCTTACAGAGCTGAAGTATTTTATACTGGATGTATAAAAAGTATTACAGAACCCAAGTATTTTATATTTCCTTTGGTACAAAATGACTGCAGAAAGACAGTATAAGAGGCAAGAAGGAATTGTGAACAAAGGAAAATTTGGCCCAATCTGAGCAAACTTGGCTGATTAAAGAAGTAGTAGCAGTAATAATAATAATATTATTAAAAAGAATATTTTAATATAAGGGCAATATTAATAAAATGTTAATAATAATAAAAGTGCAAGACACCTTTTTCTATCACACAATATTCTTTGCTTTAAATTCTCTTTTGTCTTATAATATCATAATAATATAGCTTTACTAGTATTTTTTACTTGCCCATTACAGCTTTTCCCATATTTTAATTTTAACCTTTCCTGTGTCTTTATATTTTAGTTGCATTTTCCCATCCAATGTGATAATATTTGCATTGTAAGTGGAATATTTAAAGCATATATTCTAAACATAATTATTAATACATTTTTAGTAATTTCTACTACATTGCGTTTGCTTTTTATTTCTCCTGAATTTTCTGTTCTTTTTTATTTTGAAGTAAATTGGTGGCTTAGGTTTCACCAGCACTGTGTGTGGTGTATGGAGACATCATTCCTCATTCCCGGAGCCCTATAGGGTAGCCTCCACCTCCCTGCAAACAGTTGCCCCTTGGCCACCTGTTGGGCCTGAGTGTGTTCATACTAGCGATGTGGTATGACCTCCAGCTGATGGAAGAGGAAGAAGCCAGTGAGGGTCGAGGAAGCTGGCTCAGGGCTGCTGGATCAGGAAACTCCATGTTCTTGGAGCTCCTGGCACTCCCTTGGCCTCATGGACTCCTCACCCAGTAGGAAGGGGAGAAGCTGGAGTTGTGCCAGAGTGGGTAGGGTCTCATAAAGCACAGACCCCAAAGCAAGGGTACTTCTTGCTAGGTCTAAGGCAACAGTGAATATATTAATACACATAAATATTAAAACTTCTAGAATTCAGTAAGCAAAAGACAAACCCCCAATTGAAAAAAAATGGGTATTTCATAGAGGAAGAAACACATCTGCTCCATAATCATGTGAAAAGATGTTTGAACTAATTAGTAATCATGAAAGCACAAATTCAAAAACATAATAAAAATGCTATTTCATACTCATTAGAATTGAAAAAATTTAAAAAGCATGACAAAATCTCCTGCCAAGGATTTGGCCCAACAGGAGCTCTCTTAGACTCCTGGTGGAATTGTAAAATGTGCAAGCATTAGTTTTATCTTCTAAATTGAAAGTGTACACCCTGTAACCCAGAAATTCCATTCCTAGGAATATATATCTTAGAAAATTCTTACATATGTTTAAAAATAGACATGTTCAAAAATGTTTACAGAAGCATTCGTTTGTATTAGGAAACAATATAAATATTAATAAGGTAATCCTTAAATACGCTGTGTTATATTTTTGTAATGGAAACCATACTACTATGAAAGCAAATGAAATGGACGTGTAGCTATCAAAGTGAATAAATCGTACAAATAAAATTTTGAACAAAAATGATAAATTTCAGGTTATATATATCTGTTTATAACATGTATTATTATATCATTTATGGGTATATACATCTGTGAGAGAATTATAAAAAAGTTTAAGGGAATTCTAAAACATCAGTTGTGGCAGCAAAGGTAAGATGCTGCATTGCTTACATGCACTGAGGGAGAAACAACCTCTCTCCCCAAATTTGAAAAAAACACTCCTTTGCTTCAGTTTGGTTGGATGAATTTTGGTTATATGCCCATCTCTGGAACAGTAATTATTGAAAAGGTAATAATGACCAGTTTGACTTAAATTTGAGCTCCTAAATTTAAGCTCCTAAAATTAATTGAGCTCCCCTATCATTGCCAGGGGGAATATAATTGCTATCATTGGATGGTTTAACCGGGTCCCAGCTCTGGAGCTGAAGCTGAGATCAGCTTCTCAGAGGTCGCACAGGCAGTTTGAGAAAGGCATATATCATGAACAAAATGGAATCCTTTTTTTAAAGATTTTATTTTTTCCTTTTTCTCCCCAAAGCCCCCCGGTACATAGTTGTATATTCTTCATCGTGGGTCCTTCTAGTTGTGGCATGTGGGACGCTGCCTCAGCGTGGTTTGATGAGCAGTGCTATGTCCATGCCCAGGATTTGAACGAACGAAACACTGGGCCGCCTGCAGCGGAGCGCGTGAACTTAACCACTCGGCCACAGGGCCAGCCCCTGGAATCCTTTTAGGAAGAAGAAATTTGTAGGAGTTAAAGTGTTATAGTGACCAGGACTACAGTAGTAACAGTGGGATTAAGGCTATATTGTGAATGTTGAGGGATGAGGGGTGATGGAGAGAGACGGGGAGAGAGCAAGAGAAATTAAGCTTGGTACCCTTGTAGCTAGCTTGTATGTTTTGATATAGAGTGTTACTATTTATTAATATGTGGAACAGAGGAGGAATAGAGGCGTTAGAAGAGGAGGTGTGTTCAGTTTGGACATACTAAGTGTGAAGTACCAATGAGGCAGTCAAGTACCATTTGACAGTTGAAAATACAGATATGAATCTGAGGAGAAAGATCTCAATTGAAGTCATAATTGGGGATCATCAGTATAAAAATGATTATTTAATCCTTGGACAAAGATAAATTTGCCCAAAAAGTGAAAAGAACCTACTACAAGTTGAGGAATTTTGAAGATTATAACATAAACGAAATGGCTAGAGGAAGAGACTAAGGAGAAGAAAGAAGAAAAACAGGGCTGAAATCAAAGTAAAAGGCAAGGTGAGAGAGCAGAGGAAGATGATGGGAGTAGTCAAAACTGTCCAATGTTGCTGAGAAGTCAAGAGAAGTAAGAGCAATGAAAATGTCTACTGGATTTCACAACGAAGAGTTTATTGGAAACTGAGAGGAGAGAAATTTCAGAGGCATTGTAGGAGCAGAAGCCAAATGACAGTAGATAAGGAATATGTTGGAGATGAGCAACTGGACACATCAAATGTAAACAACTTCTGTAAGTACAGCTGTGAACAGGAGATATAAGACAGTAGTTGGCTGGAGTACTGAGGTTTGTCAAGGATGGTAGATGTGGTGGTTGTTGCTATTATTGTGATGGGCTATGGATGAGCACGTTCAAAAGCTTGTGAAAATGAGCAAGTAGAAAGAGGTTGTGGTCTAAGAGCAAGAATATAATCAGTTGAGCTAGATTACTCAGAAGGGGATAGAATGGAGTCCAAAGCACAGGAAGAAGGATCAGCTGTAGTAAAGAGAAAGGGCTTCTTTCTTGCCTTGCAACAGAGGGCACAAAGGAAAGAGAAGGTGCAACCACAGGTAATTTTGTAGGTTTGGTGGCTGGAACTTGAGAGAATTCCTCAAGCCACAGGATCTTCTGAGTGTGTCTCTTTTCTCTGTCCTTACAGTCATTTCCTCATGACCTAATCTTTGCAACCTATGTTCTGTTACATAATCAGCATGATACCTCTCTAACTGGTTTCTTGGCCTTTTCTTCTTCCAACCCACTCTCCTCCCTGCTGTGAAAGGAATCTTTCAGAAATGCCAATCTAATCATGTTACGCAATGAGTTGTAATTGTTTACCTGCTTGGCTCATTTCTAGATTATGAGCCTTAGAAAGGAAGTATTGTGTTGTTCATTACTCTGTTCTCATTCTTTTTTATGTAATAAACACTAAAAAGATATTAGATGAATGAATGAATGGCTAGTGACTTTATCTTTAATGCCATTGGCACCAAAGTCTTTGCTTTCTATGGAGATTCTCAGATGATAGATTGCTGAATACAAGGATAAAGTCTTCTGTGGGACTTAGAGAATTCACAATTAAGATCTTAGGGACTTCTTTTCAAAGCTGCTTCTCAACTTGCTGTAGCCTCCCTCATTTGCATGTCTCCTATTTAAAAGCTCATTTCAGCAAAATTTGTTCAATTGTAGGTTGTCTTGTGTTCCTCATAAAGATATGTTCAAGTCCTAATACCTAGTACCTGTAAATGTGACTTTATTTGGAAATAGGATCTTTGAAGATGGAATCAAGTTTATATGAGGTCATACTGGTTTAGGGTAGGCCCTAATCCAGTGACTGAGATCCTTATAAGGAGAGGGAAATTTGAACACATAACTCACAGCGGAGAGCACCATGTGAAGAATGAGGCAGAGGTTGGATTGATGTCTCTATAAACTAAGGAAGACCAAGGAATATAGTAGCTAGGAAGAGGAAAGGAAGAGTTCTTCCCTAGAGGCTTCGGAGGAAGCATGGCCCTGCTGACAACTTAATTTCAGACGTCTAGCCTCCAGAGCTGTGAGAGAATAAGTTTATGTTGTTTTGAGTCATGCGATTTTTGGTACTTTGTTATGCCAGACAAAAAAAGAAGTATATATATTTATGCCATGCCAATATATATATTTAAAATATATATATATTTTTTCCCTCAGATTTATGTCAAGAATCTTATGAAACTTCCAACTAAATTTCCTCACTTCTTTAATCAAAGTTTTCCACTCTCACCATCCAAGAAGCTATTGTTTGCAATACCATGTACAATTCAAACAACAACCCTGACCTAACTTTATTATCTTTAGAAGAAAAGTGCACTTATCCCATGCTTTTTTAAAAAGTTTATTTCCTCAGTGAATTTTTTTTTCTTTTTCACCTCAATGTTGTTGTTTGACTAAGAAGAAAGATTCTAAATGACATTAATCTGTTTAAGTTGCCGTGAATGACACTAAGGAAACAATGACTAGGTAGGTGGTAGGAAAGAGTTGCCACCAGTCACGGACTTCACATAAGAAATTTCACAGAAGTCTCCATGCTAAATGATTTCAGGAAGATCACAAAAAAAAATAAAAACTGTGAAATGTTCCAGCTCTAAAACTGCTTCACCACTGTCAAAAAAAATAAGCTTACATGGGAGTTTGTTTTCAAAATACAAAGGTACACCTCTTTCACTGTTTATCGAACCTGGAGATAGCAAAAACGAAAGTTAGCATTTCTTTAAACGTATTTTATCACCTTTCAGTGAAAATGTAATCCTTTTTACAGTAGTAAACATTTAGGATGGTATTAGAGCAAACAAATTTAATTTTTGAACTAGATTGCAATGAGTATATTTATCTCGATTTATGCAAAAATGTTTCAAAAGAGTATATCAACTGAACTTTTGTGTTAGGAGTTGACAGATGAAACTACTGTGTAATTAGTCATATAATATGAACCAAGGAGATTGAGAATAATAAAAATCAATATGGGCTATAATTTCTATTTTTCACTTACTATAAAATATTGCAACAAGTTAATTTACTTTCTATCTGAGATAGACTTATTATATGGTGATGAGTTATCTAAAGTGGTTAGTGTAATATTACTATTTTTAATATGTAATTCTGCTTTATGTAGGCAAGTCTAGACCCAAGGATTGCCCGTATTATTAAGGAAAATTAGCTTTTTGTTTACTTTAGCTCAGGGAGAAGGAGGAAGATAAAGAGAGTTAGGTGTGAATGCCAGTGGTTAATATCTTGTGCAAAAGCAGGAGACTGTAGGAGTCATTTCTGGCCCATACATTCTTCCCCTGCATAAACCATAAGGAATTTTGTTTATTGGGAGCTAGTGGGTAGAGGAGAAGAGGAAAATCAAGAGTTATGCCCTTAAATCTGTGTGGCCTAAATTGTTGGTCATTTGCCATCAAGAAAGATGATGGATCGGACTGCTTTATCTTTTGCTAATGTGCTGGTTACATCCTTGCTCTTTGCTTGCAGGTGTGTATCTGACAAACAGCATTCTTTACCCCTGGATATAAAATTTTTATTTACTTGATTATTGGGTATGGTTGTTTGGCAACTGTTTATTATTTTTATAACATATTGATATAACTATGTATACTAAGAAGCATATCTGAAATAAATAACAAGATATAAATTCAAAAATATGTGTCCTTGGGAAATAGCTTCTTAGAATTTAGCAAAGATTTTTCACTCTTTGAAGAAAAGATATAATGTAAAATTTTCCCACATTGTAATACAAATCCATCCTAAGATTATCTATAAATGCGAGTTATGGACTAGCACTATATTTTATAGGATAGACTGTGCTTATTTATTTATTTATTTGGTGAGGAAGACTGGCCCTGAGCTAACATCTGTGCCAATCTTCCTCTATTTTGTACGTGGGATGCTGCCACAGCATGGCTTGATGAACGGTGTGTAAGTCCACACCTAGGATCCAAACCAGTGAACCCTTGGCTGCCAAAGTGGAGCATGTGAACTTAACCACTATGCCACCAGGCCAGCCCGAAGACTGTGCTTATTAACTGCTTATATGGGCAGGACTTTCAACAGTCTCCTTTCTAGAACATTCAAATACTAACTAACTTAGAATGGTAGTTCCAAACTATTTTACCAAAAAGGTTATTTTAAATTTTTCCCTTCCTCTCCTTGTGGTCTGTTACTTTGAAAGATTTTTGCCCAAAAAAATAGACTGCATTTATTAAAGAAAATATTACATAGTTTTTTTGGGGAAATATGCTGTTTTTATTAGTTTTGTTTGTCCGGCATTATGGAGGTATAATTGACATATAACACTGTGTAAGTTTAAGGTGTACAACATAATGATTTGATAAATGTATATATTGCAAAATGATTACCACAATAACATTTGTTAACACATCCATCCCCTCACATAGTTATAATTGTGTGTGTCTGTGGTAAGAACTCTTAAGATCTACTCTCGTAGCAGCTTTCAAATACAGTATTATTAATTATGGTCACCATGTTGTACATTACATCTCTAGAACTTATTCATCTTATACCTGGAAGTTTGTACCTTTTGTTCACCTTCACCCATTTCCCTCCCTCCCCACCCCTGCCCTGGCCACTACCATTCTACTCTCTGCTCCTATTAGTTTGACTGTTTTAGATTGCACATATAAGTGAGATTACACAGTATTTGTTTTTCTCTGTTTGACTTTTTTCACTTAGCATACTCCCCTCAGTGTTCATCCATGTTGTCATATGGAAGGAAGGAAGGAAGTCCTCCTTTTTTTGTGGCTGAATAATATTCCATTATATATTAATATATATACATAATATATACATATAATATATAAAAAATATGTATCACATTAAGATTATTTTACTGAGGTCATATTGGCTTATAACATTGTGTAAATTTCAGGTGTACATTACTATATATCAGTTTCTGTATAGACTGCATTGTGTTGACTACCAATAGTCTAGTTTT